CACCCTGGGTCAAAGGTTGGCCAAGCACTCCCAAAACCATTCTTGCCCTGATGTTAGGCACAACGTCCTCTAAGGCAGTGTTCCTCGACCTCCGGAGCTTTAGGATGGGTGGACTTCAACTCCCAGAATTCCTCCCAACCAGCATGCTGACTGGGGGAATCCAGAGAGTTAAAATCCACCCATCTTAAAGCTCCTGAGATCAAGAAACACTTTTCAAGCAAAGCCTTTATGTCTGCCCAGGCATTCCTAGGAGAAGGTTCTGAGGTTTGTTTTGTCTGGACTGTGCCTCCACAGATTGACTTTAATTGATCTTAATCTCCCCCCTGTAAGGGGGGGGGAGATTAATCAGTTAATCTTCCTGGTGCTTATGACATCCAAGGTGCTTTGAAGACCCTAGTCAGCAGGGGCTGCGTCTGCCTGCCTTTTGCCGCTCCAAAATCTGAGCATAACCTGTGTCCACCACCCAGGTAGGTGTGAAGGGAAATCAGACATACCTGCCAGGATGTTGTGAAAGGCTGTCTCCACGTTGGTGGAATCCAGAGCTGAGGTCTCAATGAAAGACAAGCCATTTTTTTCTACAGCAGGTGAATACATAGAAAAGGATACCACCAGTCAGAAATGGTCCACAGATAGTCTCTGTGAGAAGCTCCATCCAACCCTCTTGTGTGCCTCAGACCTCAGCTGCCCCATCACCACCAGAAGTGCTGAGACTCAAATCAATCACATTGGAGCTCATCTCCCACCTGTCGAGAGATGTATCCTCCTTGAGTGACACCAGGTTTAGGCACCAACCTCACAGCATCAGCAGGTGGCACCTGAGGGACATCTCTACCCAGAGCCCTCGACCCAGGTTGTCTCCCTTTCAGTTAAATACTTTTTTTATGCTTTTCAGATCCATGCTATGCTTTAATGTATATCATTTATCTTCTGGTTTTTAAATGTTGGTAAGTTCCTTTGGGAAAATATCTTTTTAGCTGTAGCTTACAAATTCATAAATGTCCTAAAATAATCCTTCCTTTTTAAAGATAGTGAGTGTTGTGTGTCCAGAAGACACAAAGTTCAGAACGAAGATCCAGGAATCTTAGGTGTCTTTTCTTAAATTAAAAGATACACATTTTTAGCCCCCAAAGTTATAAATCTCCTTGAATCATGTTGCTGGAAACAAGGGTATTTAAGTGAATTAATTTTGCCTCTTGCCCTAATTTAAAAATGAATGAAAAAAAACAGCGACATCTTCACAACCCTGGGTTCCCCGATGCTTCCAATGGCCAAGGGGAAAGGCCCGCACAACACAATGCTCCTTCTGTACAGCAGTAACACAAAACTCAAGGAAGGAGCTGCGGCCCTCTGGCTGAGTCTCTGTCTACGCACTGACAGCTGCAGGGTGATCCCCTTGCTCCAGGCCCAGGAAACACCTGGCCAAAACCCTTGAAGACCCAGCAGGGAGCCCAACCACGTGGTTCAACGTGACCCACCCACCCTCTGAGGCTCACCCTCTTCTCCAAAGGATGCAAGCGTGGTGCCAAGGGCTTAGCTAATGAGCGCATTTAACAGCACGAATGAGTCAGGTGCTGAAGTCACTTCCTGTGGCGAAAAGGAACGGATGGAGGGTTCTGAGCTAGCCAGAATCTCCTCTGGGGAAGGAGAGGCTCCTCCGTGGGCTGGGAGCCTTACCTGCAAAGCTCTTGGCCTCGTCAGTGGGCACGGCCCGTAGGTGCCTTAGGTCACTCTTGTTGCCCACAAGCATGATGACGATGTTGGCGTCCGCATGATCCTGCAGCTCCTTCAGCCAGCGCTCTGCGTTTTCATAGGTCAGGTACTTGGCAATGTCGTAAACAAGGAGGGCACCAACCGCCCCTCGGTAGTAGCTACAGGGGGGAGGGGAGGGGGGGGGAGGAGGGCAAGTCACTTGCTGGCAGAACCAGACTTTCAGCAAGGTCTCCATCCCACCACCAACGGGAGGCCCCGATCCCAACAGGGCCTCCATTCCTCTCATTTACAGGGGGCTGTAAGGCTTTGCCCAGAGATGGCGGCCACTGCCAGAACAAACCTTGCAGGACCATCGAACTGGATCTGATTTAATTGCCATTTCTAGCATCCCATGGTCAGGTGACCACAATTTATGATGTTTTTGCAAAAAAAAAAAAATAATAATTGGCATTTACTTCCAGTTTCTAGCATGGCTGGTTGGAGAATTCTGGGAGTTGAAGTCCACCCAGCTTAAAGTTGCCAAGGTTGAGAAATACTACCATAGATAGATCTGTTAAACTCGCCTTGGCTGCCAAGCAGAAGGACTGAGCTCCAGGGAGCCTTCACAAGCTAATGCAGATCAAGGAACCAGATTAGAGGGCGAGAGCCACTTTAACTTTTCCATTAGAAAAGGAGACCCTCCCTAGCCATGGCGCCCTCTCCCCTTCCCTCTTGGGCACCCAGAGGCAGCAACCAGTCTCTTACGCGGAAGTGATGGCTCGGTAGCGCTCCTGCCCAGCCGTGTCCCAGATCTGGGCCTTCACAGTCTTGTTGTCCACCTGGATGCTGCGCGTGGCAAACTCCACCCCAATGGTGCTCTTGCTTTCCAGGTTGAACTCATTCCGGGTGAAGCGCGAAAGCAGGTTGCTCTTTCCAACACCCGAGTCCCCAATGAGGACGACTGCAAAGAGGCAAGGGACTCTGCGGTTAATTAAAATACTCAGAACCCTCTGAAAAGGATGTTTTGTGCTTGCTTGGTTTTTGTTTTTGTTAAGAAGGCTATCTCATCCACCTTTCTGAATTGTTTTGAGCCAAAGAATAGGCCGGGCTTTGCACCAAGCAATTTGACCTCAGATTTGACAGTCAAACAATAACAAAATTTGGGCATTTGAACCTCCCAGAATATGGTGAGGGAGATGGAAGTTTCTATGGATGGATGGATGAGAGATGCTTCATAGAAGATAGATATAGAATATAGATAAATGATATTCTTTTAATAATCTCAAAATGGCCACTTGAGAATAATATAATTCCCCAGCCCGAGAGAATGGAGGGCAGCTGGGGTTTATATTCATCAGTTTCAGGCTGGGTTCTTAACAGCTTACTATTGTTAAATGAGGCAACAGTTCCGACAGATTTGCCCCCTTGAAGAACATGCCTCCCCTTCACCCTACACCTGTTAAGCCACACCATGGAGCCAAAGAAAAAACTGCAGGTCGCAACCGCTTTACAGGAAAATGCCCTACACTTAAAGGAGGCTCTCAGACACGTTCTGAATGTTTCCCATCTGAAAAAGAACAGGAGACAGAATAGTAAAGGCAGCTTCACAAAGGAACTCCCGGCCTGTTTATATAGAGAGGACCACTCTGCTTTTCCTTTTTATAATTATTTGTTTCATTATAAAATAAAAATGCAGACTTTTCCAACTTTTTTCAGTGCAGTAAAATACAAAAAAAGATCATCTTAACTTTCTGTTTTCCACTTCACAACATTTCAAGCCATTTCTATCTCCAAAATCATTCTAGTCCTCGAAACCTTAAATCCAATAATTTTTTTATATTTCGAGCAAAAGATCCAGAAGTGGTTTCCAAGGAGAAAGAAATCTGGATAAATTCTTCTCTTTCATTAAAACTCTCTCTGCTAGTGCCAACACTCTTCCATTGTGGGAACATTTCTGCGCATATAAGATGGGCATAAGTGATGCACGCTCTGCTCTTCCCAGAGATCTACAAAAGGGGATCCCCTCACCAAAATCTCCCCCCAGCTCCTGAAACCACTGGCAGGTCCCTCATTCCGGCCTCTGACAAATCTGCATGTGACGTGTGTGGCACGTGGCCCATCCCACACCTGTCCTGCTAGTTGAGAGCAGAGCTCCAGCAAGGAGCCGCCCTGAGAGCCGGCCCTGACTCACTCACTGGAAAGTTCTCTTTGGGCAACACCAAGCTCAGTTCCCAAGACCAAATGCCTGGCTGGCTGGCTGGGGAATTCTAGGACTTGAAATCTGCCTATCTTAAAGTTGCCAAGATTGAGAAACACTGATATAAACAGACAAATGGGTACCAAAGGCTTTTAAACCTCAGGATAGCCGGCTGTGCGAAAGCAGCATCTACCTCAGAGGTGTCCAATCTTGGGAACTTGGAAGACCTGTGGACTTCAATTCCCAGAATTCCCCAGCTAGAAAAGCTTAATTTTAGTTTTTTTTCCTTCCTTCTTTCCACTCCGAATTGAATGAAAGCTGAAAGTTGATTGAAAACTGGCTGGAGAATTCTGGGAGTCGAAGTCCACAGGTCTTAAAGTTCCCAAGGTGGGACACCCTTTTACTGAATAAAGGTCTCAGGTGGGGATTCCATCTTGTCGGGTCGATGAAAAAGAGTTTAGGATCTGGAAGATCCAGGCCTGGGATGAGACCTGCCGACAAGGGAGTGAAGGGCGGGGGGGGGGGGGGCTTACAGGTCTATAACCCTCAGGCTTTCTCCCTGTGGGTCCTCCTACCTGGGGTATGGGGTGGGGAGGGGGGCGCACCAGAATTAAGCGACCTCTGGAGGGCTGTCCTCTCCGTTTGCTGGGACTGCAATTCCCAGAATTCTAGGCTGGCTCGGGATTTGGGGCGGGGGTCCCCTCCCAGCCCACCTGGAGCAGTCAGGTGAGCGCCCCCGCGAAGGCTCCTCCACGGAAGCTTCGGAGGGCTGGTTCAATCCAGAGTGGGAAGGGGAAGGAAAAGAACGAGGGACTCCCACGAACGGGCAGCTCCCAGCAAAAGTTCACCGGCTCTGCGGAACGTCTTCAGCCTCGGAAGCGGCCCCTGAGGAGGGAGCAGCCTTTCCAGGCGGCAGCTGAGGCCGAGGGGGGAAGGGCCGCTCCGGCGTCGCAAGCGGAGGGGGGGGGGGGGGGGGGGGGGCAGTTTGCAAGTTCTCACTCACTCTTGAAGAGGTAGTCGTACTCGTCGTCCTTGCCCCGCATCGCGCCCGGACTTCTGCGCTGCCTCCCGACGGAGCCCGTCAGCCACACCTGCGCGCCTCTCCTGGCCCGGAAGAGCTGGCGGTGATCTCAGGGCCCGGCGATTTCCTGCGTCTGGCCGGCTTCAGGTAGGCGGTTGGAGGTCAGGCTTTCCGGGCTGGGTTGGGGCCTCTCCCGTGGCGCTGATTGGCCCGGCCTCGCCCCGGCAGCTTTATTGACTGCAGGCAGGTTATTCGGCTGCTCACCTGGCCAGGTAGGAGGAGGGGAGGTGCGCGGCTCTTTAAAGGGGGAGCCGCCTTCCACCTGAAGGGGAGAAAAGAAGGGCGGGCCCTAAAAGGCGAGTTTCTGCCCGGCTTCAGTCTGTCCACTTCTGAATTGACCCCACCCTAGTGAAGTAAAGGGGGTGTGCAGCTGCCAGACAGACGGTCTTGGAAAAGTTTTCATTGAGATTTACTGATAGCAAACTTTGCCTTTTATGTATTTCCAGATTTGGGCATCACAGGTAAAATGCCCTTGAAGGTGGTAGTCCTCAACGAAACCATTTGTTTAGCAATGCTTGAAGTTACAGCAACGTTGTAATGGATTTAGGACCTGTCCTCACACTTAGGAGGGATGCAGCATCCTCACAGGCCCACCAAATTCAAGCGTGTATTGCCACTTAATCCCAGAGTCACGAGATAACCGTTTGCAACCTTCCCAGCCAGCTTCCAAAAAGCAAAATCAGCGAGGAAGCTGGATTCATTTAAAGACCGTGTGACTCACTTAACAACTGCTTGATTCACTTCACACCTGGGGCAAAAAAAGGTCATAAAATCAGGAGTGACTCACTTAACCACCTTGTTTAGCTATGGAAATTATGTTCCCAATTGTGGGCGTAAGTCAAGGACTTACTGTACTGTGGGGGTCAGCTGAAACAGACCGATTACAGCATCTGTGACTTTGCCCCATCCTTTAATAATACATTTAATCTGTTCTTAAATCTGAATTAAGCTGTTTAGGCTGGAAAAATCATTTTTATCATTTTTCCCTAGCTCTGATAATTACACCACATCATTTTTTTTTTAATGGCTATTGATATTCACTCCTTGGGGAGTGCCTGGCTACATTAATGGCAATCCATGGATCTTGCTGGGAGGGGATAGATTCCCAGTTAACCAATCCTTTGAAGGTCTGAAGCAGATTAAAAATCAGCACTTGACAATTTAATATTCTTTTCATTGTTGGGAAGATGCCTGCCTGAATAACCTGGATTTTCCTTTGAGTGATTGTAGGGGGACTGGGTGAGGCTGATCTCCTGGCCTCTTGCAGGATGCACAACTGAAAACAGACTACTTGAGAACTGGTGGCCTACCAAGTATAAACTTATACCGATTAAACCAGTTCCAAGATACCAGGCTATGTTAATTTGATATCCAGGAAAATGTGTCAGGCAGCCCATGCTTAAATTGCCTGCTAATTATACTGTCACGGGGAACTTTGTCAAAAGCATTCACAGCCTTCCCACCATTTAATAAGGAACTTCTTTGAGGTCAGTTGATCAGTGAGATTTCTTATATTATTTCATGTTCTACATTTAATTTTTATTTTATTGATTTATTGATTAAATTTGCTGCAAAGCGATGATCTTCTGGACATCTCCATGCTGACTGGTGGTAACCTGCAGTGATTGTTTCTCCTCAGGTAGGAAGGAGCCCAACCTGGCACAGAGATGCAGCCAGAGCACGGAGGTCGCCATCCCTGAAGAAAAAAACAAAGGATGGAGTATTGCGTGGTCAACCTTCAGCCAATTGGGCAGGAGGAGGACTTGGCAGTCAACAGGCATTGTTGACAGAGAAACATACTTTCCATAAGGGAGAGGATGAGATCAAGAGCCAGGAAACCCGGTGGACAAAAATGACTACTAAGACATACATCACACAGCTGGAACTCAAACCATCTTTCAGACCACCTCAGAAAAAACATCTTCTGAACCTTCAAAGAACAGGAAGAGATGCTGTGGAACAGGAAATAGGATGATGGATCCCCAAAGAGCAGAAGGGCTCAGAAATTTGAGAAGTGGGCTTCTTTCCATGGGGGTTATCAGCCTGAATTTTGTTGTTCTGGGTGGGGTGGGGAGAAGTTGGTGAGTGAGCGATTCTGGCCCTTTCCACCTGTCTTTCTGCACTGAGCAAGATGCGGTCCCCCTTTAAACCTGCCTGGTCCTCAGGGATGGAGGTCTTCTGGATCTGGTGGCCTGTCTGGGAGAGTCCCATTTCTTCTCCTCTTGTTGAGGGAGATCCAAGATGCCTTGCACACCCCTCCCAGTTCCCTTCAATTTGCAAGTCCCTCTTTTTCCAAAACATACAAAACATAATTTTCCCCAAGAGGTCCATCTTATTAAGCCACATGATAATAATATGCACTCCATCATCTGGAACAATTTATTTAGAAATATGTTTATATATACATATTTATAAATGTACACACACAATATGAGAGACTCCCATCCCACAAAGTCAGGCGTCTTGTGGATGGAAGATTTAGAAAAAGAATCCAGTGATGTACACAGGCAAAAGAAATCACTGCAAGTTTGAATTGTTTGCCTGATGCCACCAAAGGAGGGCATAAGCGCCTACCAAGCCCAACCTGGTTCCCAAGTTACCACCTAGGAAATGTCTACGATGGGAGAGCTACCTGTGACTTTCAGCTTCATTTCTCTGCAAGCAAGAAAGCAATTTAAGCTTCTGAAGAGGCTGATTGGTCGGGCTGCAGCTCCCTAAGCTAGGAAGAAAGGCAAAAGACTGAAGGAAGGGCATCAAAGATCTTTTGATCTTCTCATGGACCATCCACCCTGGCCCCACGGAGCCAATTATTCCCAAGGGAAGACATCACTCAACATCAAAAAAGTGGCATGAGGAACCAGTTTCCTTTGTTCTCCCTCCCCACAATTCAAGGGTCACCAATATCCAACTTCTATATACATGCACGATAAGGCACAATTCTCTCAACCAATTGTTGTGAAAACCAACCACAATTTGGTGCAGGTGTTCTGTGTAGTAAGCCACAACTGCTGTTTCATTGACCCAGTAGCTGGGCCCACACATTGCCTTTAGCTAGAACATCAGCCACCTGTGTTAATGTCTCTGTATTCATTTCCTAAATTGATAGGGCCGCCCATCTGATCTGCATGACTCAATGTAGCTAACAAAACATTGTTTAGCATTTCCTTTGAACTCAGTTACTGTAGCTTGTAACCATGGACAGTAGCTTGGTGCTATGTGTAAATATGACCACCTGTGGTTTGTGTGTGTCTTGGTCAAGTTCTCTTCTGAGGGGCTCCTCAGAGGGGCTCATTGACCAACCCTCACCACTTCCCAGGGGTCCAGTTTCATAAATGGACAATACTTTTGCCCAGCCCACCTGCTGCCCACCATTTGCTCAGCTACAGATTCTACTTGCAGACCAATAAAATGCTTTTATTCCTTCCAGAGGAATAAAATATTTGCCTTTCGTTTGGATTAGCAGATTCAACATATACCATGGAATTTCCCTACAGGACAACCCTTTCCAGATTTCAACCCTCTCTAGGGTGTCCAGTGATGGACCACCTTCCCAAGATGGAGTCCCAATTTTCTTTACTTCTGGTTCAGGTGGGGAGACTATTTTTTAATGTGAACCCAGCTACTAGCTCATTGGGCAAACCAGGATTAAACTGTCATCTTGGCTTAATGCAGTGCATGAACCCAGCTAGTGACTCCCACCCACCGGCCCCGTCAGAGGTTCATGCAGCAGGACTTCTTCCCCTCAGCCGCCGCTGAGGTGGATACTGCGTTGTGATTTTCGGTAGAGAGCGAGATTTTGTTGTCCAGAGGGCTCTTCTGCTTCTGCTTCTGCACTTTATGGAAAATGTCTAGAAACAGGAAAAGAAAAGAAAAGGTGTTTTCCATCTTTTACATCTGCAGTGAAGAGACACCACCAATTTTCCATATTGTATTAAATATATAATAAATACAATTTAGAATATAATATGATACAATATGATTTGATTTGATATGATGTATAATAATACAATAATATAAACTCTGGGAGTTGAAGTCCACACAGCTCAAAGTTGCTAACGCTGAGAAACCGGAAGTCCTGGCCCTTCAGAAGGGCCTTTGCAGGGGGGAGGGATAATCAAGTGAAGAATAAGAGGGTTTGTGATGAGGTTTCCCTTTAGTTTGCGTCATGCGGATGGTTTGGCTGAGCTGTGAATCTAATCTGTTTCCTGGACTGTTGAGTGAACGTTTCTCCGAGATGCATCTGACTGGAGGGGCATTTAATTAATCAATCAATCAATCAATGAATATCTAACCCCCCCCCTTGAGCATGTGACAGTCCTGGCAGTTGAACCCTGGCATGCTGAGGGTTGGAAGCAGCTCTCCACTTAAAGCTCTGGACAGTCTATGCCAATCTGATCTAGAAGAAGTCCAGATACCTCCAAGTTCTGTTGAATGGCAGAACCCGTTTGTCTCAGCTGAGAACAGAAGTCTGCTGTGGACCAAACTCAAAACTAGCTAATATCTTGAATTTTCAAACTGACTTCCTGGTGAATTTAGGAAAGATTCACTATAGAACACCCCCCCCCTCCAAGATAAATTGCAGTTACAGTATCTACTTCTTCTTGCTGGATAATCAAGTAGAAGTCTATCTAGCTCCATGTTCTTCTTTCTGATGCCAAGTAAATAAGATGTTAAAGACTTCCCTGTGTAGTGGAAAGCAAATCTCGACCAACAGGCACCCCTGCCCCAGATCGCCCCCACCTACCTCTCAAAATGGTTTCAAATGCCAGTTCCACGTTGGTGGAGTCCAAGGCAGAGGTCTCCACAAAGAGCAGCCCGTTGTTTTCTGTGACAAGGAAGACAGAAAAACCTCTTCAATGGCCAAAGAAGGAATGGAGTTTAACCGAAAAAAGGTGTGAAAAAGCCACCAAAATGAAATTTATTCCTATTTCCAGGAAGACACTGTGAAGGTGACCGGCTCCTTCTTTAGGGAACAGCCGCCATCTTAAATAAATGTCGACTTCAAAGATAACAAGGATGGTGCTGTAGTGCCCACATCTCATTTAGAAAAAGGACTTGCCTGCTCTTTTCTTTGGACCTATTTGTTTTTCTTCTTAGTTGCCCATTTTAATGTGTTTTATTAAGATCATTAAATCAGGGTGAATAAATTGCTGGGTACGCCACTTCCTTCCTCTTGCAGCTTCTAGCTGAAAACCAAGTCAACTAATTACCTCCAAACTACTTTGGACTGCAGATCCCATCAATGGGATGGGATCATACTGGGGCTGATGTGGATTGTCATCCAAAGCTTCCACAAGGCCTGGAGCCGCCCATCTGGTTTTTCATCCAGAGTCAAAGCCATGGGCCACATCCTGCCTTGAGCTCAGCGCTGTACCCACTGCCACTCAAGTCCTAGCCCTCTGGGGAAGGGCAGCCGCCCCTTCTTACCTGCATACATCTTGGCCTCTTCCGTGGGCACCTCCCGGGCTTGGGCCAGATCCGTCTTGTTGCCCACCAGCATCACAACGATGGTGGCCTCTGCGTGGTCATACAGCTCCTTCAGCCAGCGCTCCACCACGTCGTACGTCTGATGCTTGGTGATGTCGAACACCAAGAGGGCCCCCACCGCCCCACGATAGTATCTGTGGCAGATAACATGGTGAAAAAAGTGAGGGGAAAAAAGCAAGAAGAGAAGAGGGAAAACTTTGCCATCGTGACAAGCCCTCTGCTGGAAGGCTCATCCCTGATGGGGCTCATCATTCGGAGCTTCTGCTGCTCCCCGGAGCTTCTAATTCTGCTTGGCATCTCCAGCAACTGATTGGTCCCTAGACCAGACTCTGAGGGGGACATGCTGGCCAAGGTGATTGGTGGCCCTTTATTTTATTTATTTATTTATTTTATTGGTTCGATTTATATGCCACCCTTCTCCAGAGACTCAGGGCGGCTTACAATGCGTTAAGCAACAGCCTTCATACTTTTGTATAAACCTGCTTAGTAGGGCTTTCGCCCCTCCCCCCAAGCGGTATTCTTTTTTATACAAAGTCAATTTATTGCCCATACAATCCGGGTCCTCATTTTACCTACTTCAGAAGGATGGAAGGCGGAGTCAACCTTGAGCCTGGTGAGATTAGAACTTGCAGTAAATTTGAATACTTGCATTTTTGGCCAGATGGCTTTTCTCAGAGGGACCAAAGTCTTCAGCTGACAGCATCTCCTCCAGTGCTGTCAACAAGGCAGTCAAGGGTCTGTGAGACAGCACTGAGTACGGCCACCGTTTCTATGCATTTCTGCTGCCACAAATGCATGACAGAAACTGAAGGAGCTGCCTTGGCTTACCAGGCTATTCCCATTCAGTTAAGGCACAGAAGAAGAGTAAAATACACTGACATAGAGACATCTTTGCTGTCAATTAAGGAGAATCTTTGTAGCCCAGGGTTCAACTGTGCTCACTGGTGCTCACTGAAGTTGGTTGCTTTCTTCCAGCCATTTCATTACCCAATTGGGTAACATCAGGGTTAAAATGCTCCCGGTTCGGATGAGATCGCCCGATCCGGTAGCGATGGCGGTGGGTGGTTCGGAGAACTGGTAGCAAAAATCCCTGCGTGCCCCACCCCCACCATGCCCAGCTGAGCCACACGATCATCAGAGGTTTTTTTTTTTTAACTTTTAAAAGCATTTAATCTACAACCTCTTCTGATGAAAAAATGCTTTTAAAAGTAAAAAAAAAAGCCTCTGATGATCGGGTGGCTCAGCTGGGATCCTCAGAGGCTTTTCAAAGCATTTTTTTCTGCAACTTCTTGGCTGAAGAGGTGGTAAAAAAAATGCTTTGAAAAGTCTCTGATGATCCCAGCTGAGTTGCCTGATCGGCAGAGAGGCTTTTCAAAGCATTAGAAAAAATGCTTTGAAAAGTTTTTTTTAAAAAAAAAAATTGGCCACGCCCACCGTCACATTACACACACCCCACCAAGCCACACCCACAGAACCAGTAGTAACAGATTTTACATTTCACCCCTGGGTAACATCATCAATACTAGATGACACTGAGTCTCCGGAGAGGGGTGGCATATAAATTTAATTAATTAATTAATTAATTAATTGTTACCCAGTTGGGTAAGGAAACGTCTGCAAGAAAACAACCAAGCTCAGAGTACACCAAGGTCCCCGCAGTTGTCCTTCTCCTCCTCCACTCTGCAAACCCTACTCTCTTCTAGCACTGATGATGTTACCTAGTTGGTTAATGAAACATCTGTAAGAAAACAACCAAGCTCGGACAGCACCAAGGACCCCACATCTATGCTATCTTTACAGCAATACACGGACTGAGTGTGCACACTATGCTTAACCAGGTTAGCAAAAGGCCCAAGAGTTACATGGATGTCATCCCTCAAACCAGTTTGTGAAAGTTTAGTATCAGATGATGTAAACTCAGCTGCTTCCGTTTATGTTGAACCTAGAAAACGGGTGATTCCAGTCATCCTGTATGACAGACACAGTTTCCCCTTCACACCTACAAGATGTTCCTCTAAGACACGTCTAGATATGCCCTGACTGCATTCACATCCAGGCTGATTCTCCTATGACTCATTAATATACCCAACAGGTTCTGTGGGAATCACCTGTAAACACCTGATCAGGTCAGCCAAAGCACCAATGAAACCTATTAGACTGAGAAAGGTAAGAGGAAGGAGAATTTGACCAGGTGGAGACCTTCCCAGCTTGCAGCCCACTGCCCTCCTCGGCCAGACACTCTTTGCCTCTACTTACGCCGATGTGATGGCCCGGTAGCGCTCCAGCCCGGCCGTGTCCCAGATCTGGGCTTTCACCAGGGCGTCTCCCACCAGGATGGTGCGTGTGGAGAACTCCACCCCAATCGTGGTACGGCTGTCGTGGTTGAACTCGTTGCGGGTGAAGCGCGAGAGCAGATTGGTCTTTCCCACCCCAGATTCTCCAATCAGAACCACTGGGAGGAGGAAGAAGACAATGCTGTTTAAGGCACGAGGGGCGTTTCTCCATCAGGACATGCACAGGCGTTGGATTAAACCATGCTTGTTTTAATCATGGGATTTGTGGGGGGGGGGAAGTTAGCCGACCCCAGAGGTTGACCTCAGACAGCCTTCTTGATAGTAGAAGCTACAGTGGCTGAGTTCAACCAAACCATCCCATTCCTCTCAATTTGGCCAGCTGTGATTTGCACCTTCTGCAGCACCATGGTTAAATCCAGGAAATGGCTGAACCAAGGGAATGTGCAGTTCTGATTTGGACAGTGACAGAGTAAGAGGAGGAGATGCAGCCGGGCCCATCCAGGCTTAGTTTCCCAGAAGAGAGGAAGAATTCCCGTTGGCCTTGTAGTGGCCTCCCAGGACCCTTTGCCCAGCAAGGCAAGCTCTTCCCCACCCATCACACAGGGGCTGAGATTGTGCAAGAGGCTAACCACACTTTAGCTAAGGGTGTGCAAATCCGGTGGATGTGGTCAGTCTGTGGTTCCTGAATTGCATTATTCTGCTTCCTCAGGAAATGGGGTTGAGTAAACCGAGGTTCAGTTAACCATGGGGAAGACATTTGTGAAAGTGTGTCTTTGTTGCCTCAGCCACTGCTTGCCCTACAGGAGTAATGAACACACACACACACACCACTCAAATATTTATTTATCTTTACAAGAGAATCTGTGGCACGCTCCTGAACAGGTCTGGGGGACTCTGAAGTTCTGCCTGAAGTTATTCTGCGGCCTCTCAAGATTTCACGTTTAGCAACTGGGGAGGTTGTGCTGAAACCTGAACAGCCCCGGCCCTCCAATGTGCATGCTAATTAGGGAGAACAAAATCTTCCCCATCACTTTGCCGAAGCAGGAATGCAAAACGGGTGAAGCTGCGTTGCCTACCCTGCTGCAACCTTCCTCAACTGAACCCCTGTTGGAGATGCTGGACTCCCGTCCTTCCCAGCCACCCTGGAAGCATTAGGCTGAGAAAACTGGCGATTGGGATCCCATCCCATTGCTCCACCAGCCAGGGGCCAGATCTGCACCCTCTGTGGGAAAGGAGCGCATCCCAGAGGGGGAGTCTAGCCCGGCTGCTCAGAGGCAGCCCGAAGACGGATCCGCCTCCTTTGCAAAGGGCCCCTGGCTTTCTCCAAAAGGCCCCCACCAGAAACATGGCCGGGTGTTCTGTTCTGAAAAGCTCTCATTTCACAGCAGTGATTTCATGCCTCGAGGGTTTTACAACTTAATTGTGGCAGGAAGGGCAAATACAACAGGCCGTAACTGGGTGAAGGGCGCTACCAGGCGGGGCAGTCAAGGACTGGCAGCCGAAGGAAATTCCCTGAAAAGACACAGCCGGAGGAGATATGATCCTCTGGTCATCCAGGGGCTCATGGATTGGGCTTTCTGGATCCCGAGGGAGGAGGCCTGATCCCGCAGAGCAGATGGCAGCTTCATCAGCAGGAGGTACGGCCAGGACAGGCCTTCCTGCCGGGACACAGCAGGAAGCAGCCCAGTGGTGGGTTCCTCCCGGTTCCGCCGAGCTGGTAGTGGTGATGATATGACGTCACCGAACCGGTTCTGCCCCCCCCCCCGCCCTATTCTTACCTTTTATTTGTCCCCGCCCCCAGTCTATTGCTGCCTCCTGAGTCCCAGCTGATGGCTAGAAGGAAAAAAAACTCTTTAAACTCTTGCTGAGGGGCTTCAAAGGGCCGCCCTACAGCTGATCAGTGTTAAAAGGCAGTGTGCTGGTAGATCGGTGCCTCCAAAAACAAATCGGTAGACCGTTACGGCTCTGCAAGCAGTTAAAAGCCTGGTAGACCAGAACCTCTGCTAAATCCTAAAGAATTGTCACATGACCATCAAGCCACAGAACCGGCAGTAAAAGAATTTAGAACCCACCCCTGAAGCAGCTTCCCTCGGGGGGGGGGCTCCTACTCAGTTGCTCCTCCCAACACTTTATTGGGCCCCGGGCAGGAGCACCACCTTGCTGGAACAGGTGAATCAACCAGTCTGTCTCTCTCACACACACACTCGTTCTCACACTCATGCGTACACGCACATACATGCATGAGAAAGAGGGAGAAGAGTCTCTGAGAGGAAGGCAACCTTCAGGACAGTCACCCTCTTCTTCCCCAGTCCTGAGGGTCAGTAAAGGCTCCCCCCCCCTTGAAGCAGGGGAGCTGGAGAAGCCAGGTGGGAGTAGCCCAAAGCAGGGAATGACCAGCAAGGGAGGGTTTGGATGAGGCAGGCTGCAGTGGCCATCAGGCCCCCAGGGCTTCCCAGGGCTGGAGTCCTTCCAAGCTGGGCTGGGTCAGCAGCCGCACCCCCAGCGGGAGGGAGCCCTGCACAGAGCAGGCACTTCCTGGAGGAACCAGCTCCAGGGCCCCTCCCTGGGCCTTGGCTTCTCTTTCTGGCGGTTTGTTTGCCCAGCCTCCCCTGCAGCCCAGGGCCCTGCTCCAGGGAGAGGCCAGGCAGCCTTACTGCTCACTTCCCTCCTGCTAAAGGGGGAGGCGGGTGCTGTTCCTCTCAGAGGCCACCTGTGACTCAGGGTTGACGCGGTGGCTGCCACTTGCCAGCCGGGTGAGAAGTTTTCCTTACCCTAATGTCTGATTTAGGCCCTAATGTGTCTTTCTGAGTCTTATCAGCTCTAAAAATCTCCATTTGTCAATAAAAGTACGATAATAACAAACCAGTCAAAGGAAGTTTGTCAATCACAAGAGATCCCCCTGAAATGTCAGCCCTTAAAGAGACCCGAGTTAACAAAATATGATTGTAGAACATGAATTTTCCATTAAAAATGGAAACCACGAATCCAGCTCTGAATTGATTATCCGTTCAAGTCTAAAGACACTCTGAGTACACCTTGGCCCTGCACGGGCCACAATTTTAGCCTGAGATTTCCTTGCCAAGAGCTAAATTGCCTTGAGCCAGAAACATGGAAGACATGGAACAAAATCATCAAATGAACATCCAGATTAAAGGAAAAGTTATCCAGAGTGAAGTTGATGAAAGCACGTATCTAGGCTGTTCCTAGAAGAAAATCTTATTTGACACACGTTATTGCTTTTCAAGCAATATTATATTTATATACACCTTTCCGCTTATGGTATCTAAGCACTCAAGGCCATGAGCAACAAGCATAGTGGAGGAAACTCAATGTGGCGCCTACATAAGGTATTTCTTCTCAAGCTGGTTTCTGTTTTCATAATGGAAATGACTACTTCGTGTTCACACCAGGAAGCAGAGGGGGAACTCTCTGACTTCGAGAGTTCTCTCCTTTGGCCCTGCTTGTTTCTCTCTCCTTTCCGCTGGTCGCTCCCTTGAACACAATCATAATTGTGACCCGGGGGTGGGGGTGTTACACACCAATATCCACACCCCCTTTTTAATGCTTTCTCATACACTAAGGCTGAGGCTTCTATCATATCGCTGGCGTATTCTGCAGTTAATAGCACATTTTATGAGATCAGTGCAGGCCAGTTAATGCAATCAGAAACTATCTACAGAGAGCAAAGGCCCAGATCTAGTAGGTTAATAAGGCTGCAGTTCTTTGCTTCTGCTGGTAAGGATCAGCAGATCTCCCTCCCGTATAGTGTGTAAGAATGCTCCTTGCAGGAAAACGCCCGGCCTCTGTGCACAGAGGAAAAGTTCCTGTTGCTGTGAAGGGAGAAGGTGAAGGGCAGGCAGGCCGAGGACCTTCAGGGCATTGAAGTACCTGACTCTGAGCTCTCTAAGAAAGGATTTCTAAGAGCCCAAGTGGGGAAAGGAGGCAGGGAAAGGAACTGCTCACACAGGAGCCGCATCTTCCAAAATGTTGTGAACGAAGCTTTCCAGAACATTCACACCTTTGGAGAGCAATGCTTCTATTCTGGGCATTTTTATCTAAAAAAATAAATATAACTCTTCCAAAAGAAGTAGGCCAAGTCTCAAAGGCCGACACTGCGGCCAGATGCTAAACGGAATGGGCACATTTGGGGGCCCAGAAGCTGCAAGGAGAGGCTGGTCCCTTCTGGCCCCTGGTAATGGCCGGGTCCTTAGTAGAGGGGCAGGTGGAGGAGACGCAGGGGCCCCAACCAGGCCCTTCCTGGGGCCGCAGAGCTGCAAGGTTTCTGCCCACCCTGAGCACCCCCTGGACCTGGCCAAGTCCAGCATTTTCCACCCCTTCACTGGCAAAGCAGGTGAGCTAAACGGGAGCTTTGGGGGGGGGCGGAAAATTAAGAGAGTTGCAGGGCAACCTGAAGGCCGCCCAGTATCGCTCCTGAGCAGGAAGTTCGAAGTAGCGGAGCCTTTCCTGGCAAGCCTCGCTGTGCACAGAACCGGGGAGGGGGGGGAGGGGGGGGCGCGGCCGCAAAGGAAAGTGGCTCTTTCGCCTCGCAGGGACCGGGAGGCTGCCATCCTGCAGGGGCATCGAGCGGATCCCGCCTCGGGGACCGCTTCGTGGGCGCTTGACGGCGGCAGCCGGCGGAGGGCAGGGCAGCAAGGCAGACGCCCCCGAAGCCCCCCGCCCGCCCCGCCCCGCCCCGCCCGAAGCCCCCCGCGCGCCCCCTGCGCCGCCGCCCCTCGCCTTTGAAGACGAAGTTGTAGTCGTCGTCCGGCGCCGCCGCCTTCGCCATGGCTGGACGCGCCGCTGCGGCCGCTGCTCTCTGCGGGCGAGGCGGAGGCGGAGGCGGCGCTCACCTGGGAGGGCGGGGCCGGCGGGCGGCAGGTGAGGCTCCCGGGGGCCGGCCGCTCCTTGGCGGAGTTTGTGGCCGCCGAGCGGAGCAGGGCTGGGCGGCGGCACCTCGGGCTCCAAAGCCGGGTCGGCGAGGCGGGCTGTGGGCGAAGGAGCCCCGGCGCCCTCCGTTTTCAGCCTGGGCGCCAGGCGGAGAGCGCGGTTCCTGGGGGGCCCGGCGTCGCCGGCGGAGGAGGAGGCGGATGGCCGCAGCCTCGCCGTGGGGCTGAGTGACGCCCAGGGCGGGGATCCAGTCAGGGGGAGGCCGCCTCTGGCCCGGGAGGCCCCCGTGGAACCGAAAGGAGGCTCTTTGCCGTCTCCCCCCCTTGGCTGGGCTGCCTCTGTCAGCGCTGAAGTTTGGGAACCCCGCAGGACCCGTTTATTGATGACATCGTCGTACAGGTTGAACTGATAAAAAATGTTACAGAATATTAAAAGTGGGAGAAGGCTTGGAAAACTCCCAAATAATTGATCAAATGATCTCCTTTCCTGCCCCTTGGCTGAAAAAATGACAGCCGCTTCTCGACTTTGGCAACTTTAAGACCTGTGGACTTCAAGTCCCAGAATTCCCCAGCTAGCGATGGTGGCGGAGAACATTCGCTGACATCCTCCTGGTGGGAAGCTGGTGTGGTCATTTGCCCCTCCCCCCACCCCCGGGGGCAAATCATTCGAGCAGGGCCGCTGAGCTCTGGAGTGAAGCTCTGGGTGATGGCATTTCCTCTGGGAAGCAGGAATCTGCCCCTTTGCCACAGTGGCCCTTGGCATTTGTCGGCCACAGGAAGCTGACTCTGAAGGGACTCCTTTGGCAGTGATGCCACAAGCCTCTCGTCCATCTGGTCAGACCAGAAGGGAGGAATGTGGAGGTGGTGACCTCAGCTTGGCTGCAATGTGGAAAGGCAAGCTGAGGTGGTGAGGGCAAGCCTCCAGGGTCACCTTGTTTACTTTTAAGCTCAAAACACTTGGAGACACTCAAGGGTGTCCACAAGGTGTTGGTCGAAAAATTTGAGAGGCGGCCAGGGTGGCATTAAAGCAGGACCTGTTTTTTTTTTATATACAGCCTGTGGCAAAATGCATTAAAAAAACAAGCAGAACTTTGATTATACTGTCGTCAACATCTTCTTTCAGAACTGAGACTGGGAGTCGCCCCAAGAAGATCCCTGAACGGGAACCGAGAGAAGATTGGCACACTCTGGGCGAGCAAAGCTGCCACCCTCTTCCCCAATTGATGCTCTCCCTACTGGCTTAGTGCTCTCACAGTCCCCGGCCAGCAGTGACTGTCTTCACCTATTTCACTGCTTTGTTCTCTTCCATTCCCAGGCCCCGTTTTCATCCAGCTCACTGGTGGTGAACGAAAGACAATGAAAGCATTTGTGGTAACTTATATAAAAACAAAACATTCAAATTCATATTCAGTGATAAGATAAACACTAGGTCCTCATTCAGCTCAATTGGTGCCTTCTCAGAGTGGAAAGTATCATTTCAAGAGCCGCGGTGGCGCACTGGTTAGAGTGCAGTACTGCAGGTTACTTCTGCTGACTAATGGCTGCCTGCAATTTGGCAGTTCAAATCTCACCAGGCTCAAGGTTGACTCAGCCTTCCATCCTTCCAAAATCCATAAAATGAGGAGCCAGATTGTTGGGGGCAATATGTGACTCTGTAAACCGCTTATAGAGGGCTGTAAAGCAGTATATGCACAGTATATACTGTGAAGCAGTATATAAGTCTAAGTGTGATTGCTATTTTATCACTTTTGGGCTAAGATCAAGCATGATTTTTCCGGAATCTGAGCTGGGTTTTTTTGAGATGACATCAAGGAGAGAAGAGTTTGAATTTCCCCTGGAAAGTGGCTTGAACATGCAAGATGAGAGGATTCAGCTGCTACTGGAAAAGCTGTGGCTGATTGCAAGCAGGGCCTCTCCTGGGACAGCCCTCCCACACCCAGGAAATCCTTGGAGGATAAGCCCAGTTTACAATCCTCTGGGAAGTCAGAGGCAACACCCAAACTTTAAGGGATTTAAATGTCAAAACATGTACCCTGGATTTAATCTGAAAGTCTCTGGATAGTCGGTGTTTTCCCAAACAGGAGCCATGTGTGGCCTTTTAGAAAGCTTTGGCACACGGTGGAGAGTTGGGGCTCCTCCCCTCCCCCCAAACTAAGGAACTGTTGGTTACTTTGATTTTTTTCCTCAGCCCGAAATTAAGGCTTGGTACTTCTGTGATTAGGAAGAAGAGAGCAGGCCAGCACCACGTATAATTCCCAGTGTTTTTTTCCCCACAGCTCCTGCCACCCGTGGCTGGTTGGAACTAAGGTCTAAGACCCCAAGTAGTAGTAGGTTTGGGGTAACGGGGTTAGGTGATGGGGAATGTGACCCCCGGCATCAACAGGCCATGGGCTGGCCACTCCTGAAGCACCCTTTTTAGAGACCAAGGATGCCATCTAGTTATGCTAAGCCCCTGTGTGGGCAAAAGGCACATTGAGGACTCCAGGTGGAGAGTCTGGAAGAACAGCAGGGCCTGGAGCCGGGACTGAGTTAACCCTGCTTGCTGTCAGGGGTGATGTGTGCCATCCCTCCCTCCCTCCCCTGCAGTCGGTTTCCTTGAACTGAGCTGTGGTGAAGCCTCTGCACTGAGGATGCCTCACAACTGCCAGTCATTTTCAGAGGCGCTCTGGGGAACTGGAACGCAGTTCTATCGCTCTCAGGGAACCTGGAACTTCACAAGGAAGCTGGTGACACTCAGGCATGTCTCTGCCACCACTGAACCAGGTGTGGCTGTGCATGATTGACCAAGGCTGGAAGAGAGCCAGTTGACTGAGAAGCTGATCTGTGGTACCTGCAAGACTTTTGGATGGGCAGGTCCCAGTTCCAGGGCTGAGCATCGTATGCTGGGGGGGGGGGGCTGGCCTTGTGGAACAGGCACCCGGGCAGAGCAGTGGGCAAAGCCATTTCTCTGAAAAGCTGGGCGCCCCCCACGTAGGCCAAGGCCAGGCTGAGCACTGAGAAGGGGTGCCAGGCTGTTCCCGAGTTATGCTGTGTAGGAGATGCTTTTTGGTTTTCATTTTCCACTATTACTGTTCTATCCTTCCTGGCACTTTTTATGCATATAGTTTTATTAGCTTATAACATACAAAGAGAATACAAAAGCAAATATTAGGGAATATTAGGGAAATTAGGGAAGGAAAAAGAAGTGAATAGTGGGCGAAAGGAAGGGAAAACGGAAAAAAAAGGCATTAACTTCCGATTCTTTTGGTGCAGTTGAATAAGGCATTAAGAGCTACGTTCAACTTTTTACTTTTTCATAATGGAAACTAGCCATTTATGTAACAACATATCCAATTGGTAAAACCCAACTCAAAAGTTTCATATTTTTCCACCTCAAGCAGAAAGTCCTCTTTCCTGGCATTATTGTAAAGCACTTTGAGATCCTGTGTGAAAGCAGAAGGCTGGTCATCCAGATTTTTAGGAAATTCTATACATAATCCTAAATTGGAAAGTTTGAAAACTTTCATTGCCAACAGATAAGGACAACACTCCCCTCATCTCGATGTTTTAAGGACTTATCTGAATTAACTAGATTACCTCAATTCTTTCCTTTGGGTCCCTGCAATGATTTAACTGCTTTGCTTTTTGTTTCTGGGTAGAACAGGAGACACCTGGAAAGCTCTTCCAATTTCTTGGGTCAGTCAGAAGCTCCAGCAGAGACCTTTTGCATGCCCAGAAGTCTTTCCCAGCTTCGAGAATTGGCAGACGAGGCTTCCGAGTGATAGGACGGGCCCCAATGAGGTGACTCAGGGCTGCCTCACCCCTGAAGACTGGCACAATAGACCCAAGAGGAGGAAGGCGTGGCAGGTGCAGCTCCCCACCCAAAGTCTTGGCACTCCATGCCTCCTGAAACTCCTTCCCACCTGGGCCTCTCCCTGCAACAGACAGAAGCCAACCGACACCCTACCCAGGGAGGGGCCATTCAGGAGGTCTGCAGGGCTACCAAGATGGGCGAATTTACCTCCTCCTTCAAGGGATCTCAGCTCGGGTCGGTTGAGGGAAGTGGTCCAATCTGCAAGTACAACTTTGGGAAAGGCCAACAGCCCCCCCCCCAATTTGACGACTCCCTTCTGGTCTTTCCCAAGGCACAGCATCAGCCCCTCTTGGAAAAGGGTCACTTGACCCGAGATATGCTCAGCATCAGCAGTGACGAGGCTGGGCAGGTCTGAAATCAAACAAGCCAGGGGTGGCATTCTGTTCCCGAGTCTTGGGCGACACCAAGTGGGGGCCTTCAGTACTGCCTTCCAACTTAGGAACCCCAGCGAAAGAGGGGCTCCTGCCCTCCGCCCTCCCCCCCCATATGTAGTCCTTGACTTATGACCATAATCGGGACCAGAATTCCCATTGCTAAGGTGGTTGTTAAGCGAGTCACGCCTGAGTTTAATGACTTTTTGTCAGGACTGTTAAGCAAAGCTCTGCACTTCTTAAGTGAATCGTTTATTTGTATTTCGTATTTCTTAACCGACAGGAGCTCATGGTTGTTAAGGGAGTCCATCTTTACCCATTGACTTTGCATGTCAGAAGCCGGCTGGGAAGGTGGCAAATGGTGATCACGTTACCCCCACGTGAGGATCCTGCAAAGATCCTGCCTCCTTTTCAGCAATGTTGTAACAGTCGCTGAATGAATAGTTCTAAGCCAAGGACTACCTATGCTCCCAGGGCAATGCGCTTGGTAAAAACACCCTGTATATGTTATTCTCTTCTGCCATGCTAGGCTCCACTTTCTCCTTTCTGGAACGATGGCTCCAGTTACTTCTAACCACCCCATTCTCCCTTCGGACAGCAGGGCCGCCCTTGAGATCTTTCCAGCCACTTTCACCCATCCACCAGGCAGAGAAAAGCTGCTAAGAACTTCCTTTATTCTCTTCCCCGTATCCCTCTTGTGTCTGAAA